GAGACAGAGAGAGAGAGAGAGAGAGAGAGAGAGAGAGAGAGAGGGTAGTGTTCATTTGACTCTTTCTCTTGGGGACTGTGCCAGAGTTACCTTCTTCTTTCACTTCTACCTTATTTCTGCCTCCAAAGAAACTACCCTTTATACTCATACTACTATTGATTCACCATTAGACTTTTTAAATCGGAACTCTTGAGCTGGACATTCTTTCCCTCTTTCCTTCACAGCACTTTTTTCTCTACCCGTACATATTCCACCAATACTTTTTTCAAGAATACTCACTACTACATACTCAGTATTCACCAATCTCACATCCTGACCCATCCCTGTTCTGAGTCTTCCATGGATCACTTTGAGATCCCCTCCACCCAGATATCAATAGTCCAGAGTAAGGTCAGGTAAGGGTGTTATATATGCAGGTTTTTAAAAGTGATTTACATAACAACAAGCCTATTAAAATTGGGATGTATTTTGTCTTAGGTTAAAAAAGAAAATCTACAGACTGCACTGTTATACTGAATTGTTTAAAATTCATTAATCTCAATAATTTGGAAAAAAGAAATTCTATAAAAAGGAGAATAAAGAAAAAAAACATAATACATAAAAGTGACAAATTTGATGACACACCAAATGTGCATATCAAAGAGTGTCATATAGCGGTGCTTTCAAAAGGCAAATTAATTTGAAATAAATGTAGTTAATGTGAGATGTACTAATCATTTATTAATTATATATCATGGTAGTGTACATGTATATGTACAAAATGCATCTCATATAATTATACATTGCAAAAAATGATCTCTACAGTAGTTTTATTTTTTTTTAATTTTGCTGACAACACTATAAATTCCTTCATCTAGGATTATGTATTACCAAATGCTCAGGACACATTTTGTACTTTATAAAGTTTACAACTGACAAACAGACCTTTTTATTTATTTTCAATTTTTAAAAGGAGTAATATTTATTTTCAGTAAAAATATAATGCCACCATTTATCTTTAATTTTTAAATATTTTAATTATATGACAATAGAATGCATTACAATTCTTATTAGAGATATAGAGCACAATTTTTCATTTCTTTGGTTTTATACAAATTATATTTACATGAATTCACTTCTTTATACATATACTTTATATAACAATGTACATCATATTCCACCATCATTTCTAACCCCATGATCTCTCCTCTCACCTCCCAACCCCCAAAAGGTCATTTTGATACACAATGATGTATGCTATGAAGTTATAGCAAAGAGTATATATAAAGTTTTGTAACTAATTAATAGCATAACAATAATAATAATAATAATAATAATAATAATAAACTTGCCATTTAGACATTAATGAATTATACATCTAGCACTACTGATATCTTTTCCAAGAAAATTGACCTCTTTTCCAAAAAAGGCGGGGGGGGGGTGGTTGTGGGGTCAAATGGTATTCTATGCTTTCTTAATATCAAGAAAAAATTATTTTCAGAAGTAATATATATTTCAATATAAAAATAATATAGAATCATTTTCCATGGCACACACCTCTAATCCCATTAGATTGTGAGGTAACGCAAGTTAAACCTGAGTTTAAAGCCAGCCTCAGAAATTTAGCAAGGCCCTAAGAAACTATGTGTGACCCAGTCTCTGTGTGCCCATGATTTAAATTTCCAGTAAGAAACAACAACAACAAAAAGTATACAACGTATTGATGAGGACACAGAACAAATTCTCATGAACTAAAGATGGAGTAGAAATTGCTCTTATTTCATCATGAAAACTGTTTATATGTATATATATGTATGAAATACTCCTCACCAAGCAGCTTAGACCTGTAGAAATTATAGTATGTGTGTACCATGACAGTGTACAAGTATGTGATAGCATAAAA